TCCTGGAGTGTTGATAGTGGATCTAAGCAAAATGAAGTGTCTGAACAATTTCAAACTTTATCATGAAGTTATTTATTGGTCCAGTGGTGAGGATTTTTGTTTTATTTACATTGAGGTGAAATCCATACTGAAAGCTGTGGTCTTTGATCTTCATCAGTAAGTACTTTAACTCCTCTTCCCTTTCAGCATGCAAGATTGTATCATCTGCATATTGCAGGTTGTTAATGAGTCTTCCTCCAATCCTGATACCATATTCTTTTTCATATAATCCAGTTTCTCGTGTTATTTGCTCAGCAAACAAATTTACTAAGTATGGTAAAAGAATACAACCCTGTTGCACACCTTTCCTGATGTTAAACCATTCAGTGTCCCCTTGTTCTGCATGAATGACTGCCATTTGGACTATATTCAGGTTCCTTATGAGCACAATTAGGTGTTCTGGAATACCCATTTGTTGCAATGTTATCCATAGCTTGTCAGGATCCACACAGTTGAAAGCCTCTGCATAGTCAATAAAGCATAAGTAAACATCTTTCTGGTGTTCTCTGCTTTTAGCCAAGATCTCTCTGATATCAGCAATGATAGCCCTCATTCTATGTCCTTATCTGTATCCAGCTTGAACCTCTGACAGTTCTCTGTCAATGCATTATTGCAGTTGTTTAATTGTCTTTAGAAAAAATTTTACTTGCGTATGATATTAATGCTATTGTCCAATGATTTCTGCATTCCATTGGGTCATCTCTCTTTGGAATGGGCACAAATATGGATCTCTTCCAATCAGTTGGCCAGGTAACTGTCTTCTAAATTTCTTGGCATCAATGAGTGAGGGCCTCCTCATCAGTTTGTTGAAAGATTTCCATTTGTATTCCATCAGTTTCTAGAACCTCGTTTCTTGGCAATGCCTTCAGTGCTCCTTGGCCTTCTTTCAGTACCATATGCTACCTCTTGAAATGGTTAGACATCATCCATTACTTTTTGGTACAGTGACTCTGCGTATTCTGTCCATCTTCTTTTGAGGCTTTCTGCATCATTCAATATTTTGCCTACCAAATCCTTCAATATTTCAAGTTGAGGCTAGGATGTTTTTTTCAGTTCTTTCAGCTTGAGAAACGCTGAATGTGTTCTTCCTTTTTGGTTTTCTAACTCCAGGTCTTTGCACATTTCATTACAAAGCTTGACTCTGTCTTCTTGAGTTGCCCTTTGAACTTTTTTGTTCAGCTCATTTACCTCATTTCCTATTTTTGCTTTAGCATCCCTACACCAGAGAACAAGTTTCAGAGTCTCTTCTGACATCCATTTTGGTCTTTTTCCTCTTTCATGACTTCTCAAAGACCTTTTGCTTTCTTCTTGTATGATATTCTTGATATCATTCCATAATGCTTTGAACATTAGTGTCTAAGTCATCAAATCTGCTCTTTAGATGATCTCTAAATTCAGGTGGGATATGTTCAAGGTCATATTTTGGATCTTGTGGACTTGCTTTCATTGTCTTCAGTTTCATCCTGAACCTGCACATGCGCAATTGAAACTCCGTTTCAGTATGCCCCTGACTTTAGTTTGGCTGATTTTAGTTTGTAGCTGTTTGCACATCTTTTCCCACAGACGTAGTCAATTTGGTTTCTGTGTCTTCCACCTGGTGAGTTCCACATATATGCTCGTCTTTTATGTTGTTTAAGAAAGATATTTGCAATGAGGAAGTCATCGGGATGGCGGGAGGGTAGTTTTAGGTGGAGAAAAAGGCATGTGTATTCATAGGGATAGGTGAGGATTTCTGGGAAATGGCTCATTTCGCTGTAGGATAAGCAAAGGATCGCAAAATTGGTTTGAACCACAAGGCTGGTAGTTCAAAATTACCAGTTGCTCCTTGGAAACCCTATACAAGGTCACTGTGAGTCGGAACCAACTCAATGGTACTGAACAATAGTACTACACTAATTGGGTGCGTGTGCAGCATTTCTTCAAGATGTATTCTACCACAAAGATCTCTGGTAGGAGTAGACAAAACTTACTATGGGAGGCTGCACATGTGTGCTTCTTCAGTATTCCAGTTCCAGCCTCTCCCAGGGACTGGTGTTCTCAGCCTTCAAAGTGGGTAAAACGAGTTAAGACTGTACAAGAAGGTAAACTATAGAGATCTTATGGGTAGTCTGTTTACAGTAAATAGACTGCAAAACGGGCAAGATCTTGGCATTAATGCTTTCATCCTCCCAGAGGCCCCTAGGCTCCCTGTATCTCAGAGGGGCTTGGAAAGGTCAAGGAACAGATTTGGGGGATTGGGTCGTATGAATGCTTCAGCGAGGCTCATCTGGGGCTACAGTTCTTAGAAATCATCCACTGCTGAGAATCGACTCAATGAACATTTACTGAGCTCCTACTGTATATATCCCACTGGGCCAGAAACAGGGTACAGCAGAGACCCAAAGACATTTCCTGTCCTTGAGACAAAGTCTTTGATTTCCTAATAACTCTTTCCAAGAGGACACCTAGCTCCTTTGGCTTATAAACCACTCTGTATAGGGCTTCCAAGGCCCTTGGTGGGCTTGAACTGCCAGCTTTGTGGTTAGCAGTCCTGTGCTTACCCTATAACACAACGCCAGGACTCTTTCTGGGCACTGTTAAAGTGCCATAGAGGTTCAACTCATGGTGATCCTGTTTAGGGTTCCCGAGAAGTGGCTGCTGAGTCTAAACCACCAAACTCATGGTTAGCAGTCCTACAGTGCCACACCAGGACTCCTTTTGGGGACTAGTTCACAGAAAGTTAAGGTCACTGAACCCAGCAACCAAAAAAGAAGACAAGTCTATTTAAAGTCTCCTTAAATCTCAATTTCTGGCCCATTGTTTTGTTAACTACTACTAGTAGCAATGAGTAAGGAACACTACTAACCACAAAGTCAGCAGTTCAAACACACTTGCCACCCCAAAGAAAAAAGAGGAGGCTTTTTGCTCCCTTGAAGATTTACTGTCTCAGTCACTATTGAGTGGGAACCGCCTCAATAGTACCTACCTAACAACAACCAATGACAACATTAATGATCATTGTGAAGGTTTCTGTACTGGGCACAGAGTGTTCCACATACATTCTTAGCTTGCCACAACAACCTCAGAAGGTTGTTGTTGTGATGTGCTGTGGAGTCGGTTCCGACTCATAGCGACCCTGTACAGGGTTTCCGAGGCTGTAAATCTTTACAGGAGCAGAAAGCCTCCTCTTTCTCCCGCGGAACCGCTGGTAGTTTCGAACTGCTGACCTTGCGGTTCACAGCCCGATTCGTAACCCCTACGCTACCACAAAAACCTCAGAAGGTAGGCAGGTACTATGTTCTCCATTTTACACATGACGGAAATAAACGCGAAGAGATTAGATAACTTGTAGAAGGGAAGTGGCAGAGCTGAGATCTAAGTCTAGGATGCACAGCTCTGCTGCTGCCTCGTCCCCTGTTAATTTAATGCTACCACAAAGACATTTCCTCACTGCCTGTGGGGAACCTACTCCCTTGCCTCCTCATCAAGAACTTAATGATTCTTTTAATAATAACAACTACAAACCTAATACTAGCATAAAACAAACTCAGATTTCTCCAGGATTGAAGCATTCCTATAATCTCTAGTAACCCAGCCTGAAATGTACCAGGCTGAACTACGTATCTCCAAGGTTTCGAGAATAATCCGTACCAGAGAATTTTAGGAAGCCTCAAGTGTTCATAAGGAAACCTCATAGCTAGTGGTTTAAACGGTGAGCTGCTAACCACAAGGTCAACAGTTCGATTCTACCAAGTGCTTTTGGGGAGTAAGATGAGGCTTTCTGCTCCCATAAAGATTTGGTGGTGGTGTGCCGTGGAGTCGGTTTCCACTCACAGCGACCCTGCCTACGAGGCTGTAAATCTTTAAGGGAGCAGAAAGCCTCATCATTCTCCTCCGGAATGGCTGGTAGTAATTTCGAACTGTTGACCTTAAGGTTAGCAGCCCAACTCGTAAGCACTAAGCTACCGCTGCAACCTTGGCAACCCTCTACAGGATAGCTGAGTTGGAACCAACTCGACGGCACACGGTAGCAAGTGCTCATCCGGTAGCATCATTTAGTAGAATCCTGCTCATGCTCTCAAGTGTCACCTGATAAACCATGCGGGAGGCTACAGGCTTGACTGATAACCAAAAGGCTGGCAGTTCGAGTCCACCCACCTGCACCTTGGAAGTAAGGCCTCCCCAAGTGAAGCGTTTGGGGTGGGGTGTGATGGGGGCGGAGATCAGCCACTGAAAACTGTGGGGAGCACAACTCTGATCAACAGGAAATAGAATCGACTTCAGGGCAACGGCTTTGTTTTTAAATAAATGTGCTGAACACATTGCACCTAACAAACACAGAACGAATGATTGTACTGAATTATTTAACTGAGCCAGCTCACCATCTGACTTCCTGTTTTAGTACACACATTACCCAGTTATTAAAGCCATTTCACCTGCCCCTGCTAGCTACTTTGCTCAAATTGTCCAATTCGACAGACTCACGAACACTTTTGGCTTTAGAATATGGTGCTTTTTCTTATTCGACTTCCTAGGACGGTTAGATCCATACAAGGCTGGTTCCTTTCACTGGAGAAACAGACCGGGGGACAATGACGGAATCTTGGAACTATAAGAATGGCGGTGTCTCAGGAGTCGGGGCCCCAGGAAGGCTAAGGCTCCCGCCCCAGGCACGGCCCCACGCGCCTCGCCCGCCCCGCG